ATTTCTCATATTTATTCCAAATCTCTTGACTTTCATAGGAACTTAGAAACGTCAAAGATTCGCAATGCAACTACCCTGGCCCCCCAGTGGCACAGCGGCATGTCTGTGGACTTACAGTGCAAGAAACCGGGTTTCGATACTCGTGGTGGGCAGAGCACAGATAACCCATTGTGTAGCTTTGTGCTTAACGTCAAACAAACAAACAAGCAACCACACTGCAGTTCCCCACGACAATCATACTTGAACTGTTCACCTGCGAACATCCGGACTTCTATATGGCCACCATTTCAAAATGGGCAAAGTACAAGATGTCATGGGCGTTGAATATGGGTGGAATACCATCACATGGAGTGATGAATCCTGATACTTATTGGTCGCTCTTGATGAACTGGCCGAGGTTTGACACACTGGGCATTATCGTTATTCTGAACATGAATGGTGGGGTACCACAGTGTCGGCACTTTTTATCTGTTTGGACCTTGTTGATTATTAATAGTTAAAAGAGCCATGAGTGTTTTGCGGACGGTGAACCTTTGTAAAATGCTGTCTATCTAGAATTCTATGGAAAAAAACAAACATTTCCAGTACAATATATATAAAAAGGTATACATGTTTATACAGGGTGTCCCAGAAGTCTGGACCCGTAGGTAAAATACATAATTTATTCTTATTTATTATTCAAACTGCATGCCATTAACAGCCATACACATATAAATTCTTGGTATACTGTGCCATCAGGATATTTTCTTTCCTGAAATATGTATAACTGACACCAGAAATGTGTTTGTTTAACTTTAAGAGTATAATGTCTATTTTTTACTATGGGTCCATACTTCTGGGACACCCTGTACAATGTTAATCCAACTATGATTGGAAGACAGAAATTCCTGGACTTCCGTCTTTATCTAAAGAACATTCTCACTGTTCATTTCCAGCGATTCCCTTACATTCAGCTGAGTGTAATTACTCAGAGAACACATTAACTGGGTCTCATCTCATAGGATACGGTGCTTAAAGTTAATTGCTTGTTCTGATACACATGATAAAGTGTAATTTTTGTTACTGCAAGTTTGTGTTCATTCAAACGACAATTTAGTTTACGAATTGTCTAATCTATGTAGACTATTACGCTCACATGTTATTTTATATATTCCGTTTTTGTCCAAACATATTATCTTTTAATGAAGAAAGAACGCTACAAATTTTATTAAGAGGCATATAAGCGATTTGTCAGTTCTTGTATCTATATGGTAGGTAAATAACTTTATCTTTCTTTCTTTTTTATAAACAGTGTCGTAAGATTAGACAAGTTCGTTTTACGAGTTATTTTGTTAATAAATTTATCTACCAACGTATGGTGACAGCTAGGGAAGAAGAGTGGTTTCAAAATATTCCATGAAAATGTCGCAAAGTAGTGTACATAGAGGAGATCTAATAGGTAATACTTTAACGTGAGAATAGAACGTTAAAGGAGTACCTATTATCACGTTAAAGGATTACCTTTAACGTGATAATAGAACGTATTTACTTGGAAAAAAAGAAACATAATACAGATTGTCACCAACTTTACTATATCGCTAATTTTAAGTTGAAAAATGTTATTCATAATTAACCTGTCTCCAAACAGTTAATGAACTTCATTTACAGGTACTATATCGCTAATTAACCTGTCTCCAAACAGTTAATAGCCTTCATTTACAGGTACTATATCGCTAATTTTAAGTTGAGAAATGTTATTCTTAATTAACCTGTCTCCAAACAGTTAATGGCCTTCATTTACAGGTACTGAAGTGAATACAGATACAATATCCAAATAAACCATAAAATCATTACTGGATTGTTTTAAAGACTGGATGTGATTAACAATGTGTGATCAATTTTTAATCCGATGTTTATGTTGTAAATTTTAGAAATATATATTTTTTTTAATTTATCGGCTATGAATTGAGCAACGAGATCTAATGAAGAATAAACACCAGAAACAATCGTTTGTTAAAGGATATTTTCTTTATGTATTTTAGATAGTGCATAAACCCGCGGAGGAACGAAATTAGATAGTAATAATTTAGAAGCATGGTTAAGGGTTAAAGTAATACAATATTTTAAAGTGTTCCTAACTTTTCATAACAAGTCGTAGTGGAATTCTTAGTTAACAGCTTATATGAACCATTTAGTAACAAAATTTTAATTCCTTCATTATAATGGCTCATATTTAAGATGATAATGCGATTACCTTTATCAACTTTGGTTATAACAGTGTCTTTATCATATCTGAGAAACTTAAGTTCAAGCATTTCGTCTTTTGTAAGCTTACATTTACTATTAGTATAACTGATGATGACGAGGCTTGAATCCAGATATTTTATTTTATTGTCTTTTAACGAATATTCTAATATCAAACAGTTGTGTATATTAACCCTGATGAAGCCGCAAAGGCAAAACGTTGATTAAAAAAAGAATTATTTTATATATCTGGAGTGTAAAGGTCGTTTTTTCTAAACTTTTTAACAAGATTTTATTTTAACCGTAGAGAAGGGTTTGTTTGTTTGTAATTAAGCACAAAGCTACACAATGGGCTATCTGTGCTTTGACCACCACGGGTATCGAAACCCGGATTCTAGCGTTGTAAGTCCTCAGACATACCGATGTGCTACTGGGGGAGGCAACAGAGAAGGGAAAACGCCTCTTTAAGTCAAATTTAATGAGTGGGATTAAATTCTCTTCATTGTTGCGAACAAGTTTATTTATAGAAAAATTTAATACTTTGCTTAATCATTTTAATTGGTACTCAGTTATTTGATCTTCAGATATATTTATAACTGCTGGAAGTAGAACCATCGTTCTTATTAATATCCGTAGTCCCAAAAGTAACCTGCGACTCAGATAGGGTATCAAATTTCTTACGTAGTTTTTCTTTGTGTTCCACGAAATCCTTTTCACTAAAAACTTAACATTTGTTTTATAAATAAGGCCATAACACATGCGGAGATTTACCCGCTTCTTTAGTAAGTAAATTATAAACTTCATTTTCTAATTGAGATATGTAGTTTCGTTTCTGTTTTATAATATTTCTTATTGTTCTATATAATACGTTGGGAAACTTCCTCAACCATTTTCGCAGAAATACACTTCGGAATTAAACCAACGTCTCTACAATTTAGTAAGAAATTAAGAGAATTAATTTGTAATTCCAGTCTTTTTCTACATTCATGAAAACCCTTAGAAACGTTATACATAGTTTTAATCTTTCCAGCTATATATATATATACTTATTTTAGAGAAGACCCTCGTTAATACTGGAGCATATCCAGTATATCTGTTGGTAGTCTTTTTTTCTTTATTTGGTAGTTAATATATCTATAAAAACCTTTCTATTCGGTTTCAGATCTTAGGGAAATAAGGTAGGCAAATAACTTTATTTTTCTTTTTTATGTAAACGGTTAAGAGTGTCGTGAGATAAGTTCATTTTACGAGCTCTATTGAAATGTTGTATTAACCATTAACGAACTTTGGACAAAATCGGAATTTATAAAATAAAGTGTGAATACAACAAAGTCTATGTCAATTAGATAATTCGTAAATTAAAACGTCGTTTCAATGAACACAATCTTGCAGAAGAAAACACAAACTGCACTTTATCATGTATAACATAACATGCCATTAACTATAACTGCTCTATTTTATGTGATGAGACCGAATTAATCTAATACAGTGTAAAAGAATCACTGGATATGAACATCTATAATCATCTTGTATATTATGTTGTATATTTACCTTATGCATAGTATATATATATATATATATATGTGTGTGTGTGTGTGTGTGTGTGCGTATTGATTGATATTGTTTCATTTAAATCAAACTTCAATTTAAAGTTGATATGTACCACGTGTTATTGGAACGTGTTTTCTAGATACAGTACACACACAAATATACTATCCTCTTGTCAACTTTCATTGTGCTTCTTAATGTTCATAACAAATATGACAGGCAAAATATCTTTATTTTGTAATAATAAATAATTGTGTTTTATATGTGCATTGTTTATATTAATTAAAATCACAATTGTAAGGATAAACCAACAGTCACAAAGAATCTACTCTACCATTATTGATACCTTGGTTTATTAATATTAGCATCTGATCAGTGCAAGCTACTTATTTAGAGCGAAGCTAAAAATCAACCTGTTAATGAATGTATTTAATTAAAAATCAAATATACTTTGCTTACGTTCTTACTCTTGTTTGAAGGAATACTGGGATTTATCCGCCATCCTTACAACACAACTATAGTCACAAAGTGCGGAGTGCTTTTTTGCTTTTGCGATAATGGGACTCGCTCCACGGGCCCACAGATGCACAGTCCGTCACACTAATGACTGGGCCACATTCGGTCCAGTAATTGAGCGAAACAATTCAAACTTAACGTGCGATAACACGTCATTCAGAAAATATAGTTCTATATAAAATCGTTCTCTGATATTAAACAAACAGAAATTGTCTTTGAGTTACGAATTTACTCTAGTTTTAGTATCACACATATTTAAAGTAGATAAAGAATACACAAATCAGAGAACAGAATAGATAACCAGGCCAGAAAAACTTTGTGTGTAAATTCATGGCCTTGAAAGGACTGTAAATCGTCTGTAAGAAAGAGAAACGAGAAATTGCTAAATATTAAAAAAAAGAAGAAATGTCATACATTTTTTATCCTGAAATAACTGACAGCTTTTTATTGCGTTTTAATCGTATATTTTATGATTTGTGGAAATAGAATGGCTCTGACATATATTGTTGCGAGATGTTACGATTTGAATTTTTTAAAAACTTAATAGAGAATGCGAGTGCACGTGACAACAATGGTTGATATTTGGACTTACGAAGGTAAACAATAACGATGCAAGTCGTAGTAAAGAATTATAACACATAACTGGAACTTTTCAGACCCTATTAAAAGGAAAACATACAATTTGTTTTTAAGTCCAATACTTTGAAACTTACCTGAGGTATACACAATATGTCCATGATGTACTCCATTTCATACATGACGTCACACAGTTCATCCAGTTCGCTGACAAGAACTTGCCCAATTAAATCATGCTTGGAGAATCGGTCGAAGTCATATACAGAAAACTGTAACGTATGAGTCTTCAGTTGTTCGTAACTGATGCCGAAAACAAAGGTTTCATTAAAGACTGGATTTACGTTTTTTCGGTGGACCTATAATAATTAATAGCTTCAATTAATAAAGTATGACGTAATCTGTTAAACGCTGATTTTATATTCGACTTTATGAACTTAAAATCAATTAAATAAATGAAATAAACCGGTTTTCTCGTGTCTAGTAGTTGTCATTATGTGCACTGTTTCTAGTCTAGCTTCACGTGAGGTTGAAGATAAAATATTGAATATTGATCTTTTACAGTAGTGAATGCAGAGCTATATCAACTCGTAACATACTGATATCTTGTTAGTTTTATATAGAAAATCAAACCGAAAAAATATCAACAAATCAAACACTCAATTTCTAAACTTAAGGGTGAAAAAATATTGCCCGCTAATCAAATAAGACTAAATGAAACCTACTTACCCGTGTTTGAAATTTTTTCTTACGGTCCGGCTGTAGGTAAACTTTTATGTAAGGATCAGAAGATCCGGTGAGATCTTTCACTGGGAGATCTCTGGCTTGCAATATCTACAAAACATACAAGGATATACATAAAAGATATGATGTATTTACTACACTAAACTTTATCCTGATACACTAGAGCAATATTATACCGTATTTTTCGGTGTATAAGACGCACTTTTTTACCCCAAAATTTGATGTCAAAATCTGCTTGCGTCCTATACAACGAAGGTATGAATAATATATATGTATATATACGATATATATAAGCCATGTGTAAATATATTTAAATAGGCATGCATAGCTTAGTTCAATTGAGTGTGTTATTTATAACAATAGTATTTTTTTCTTTTAAAAACATAACTATTTATAATGCTCCCTAAATAATAAAAAAATAAATTACAGTGAAAGCAATGAAGATTTTGTAGGTTTTGAACCAAACTAAATAACAGTAAACTTTTTTTGATTTACGGTATTTTCTTATTTTGATGTTTTGAGGTATTTTGTGTTTAGAACAATATATACTAATTTTTAAAGTATCAAATTGAATTTTTGTTCAATAAAAATCTTTCAAATGCGACTGTAGCTTTTTTTCCCCAAAACTTTGTCTTCAAAATAAGGGTGCGTCTTATATTCCGAAAAATACGATAATCAGTTTGATTAACAATACTTGGACGACGTTGCTTCATTGATTCAGTATTGGGACGAAGAGAAAAATCCCACTGTCTAAGTACTTTATTTAATAAGTCTCAGCTAAATGGCGACTTGCTCGTGCGCTTGTTCAAATGGAAAATAGAAAATTAGAAAAAAAAAGAATATACGAAAATCTTTAAGTAGACATTTAACAACGTTTTAATGGTGTTGATACGACAGAACGCTTTTCTGGTATTCAGCATGTGTTTGGTTGATTTCTACTATGATAATTTCTTTTTATTATTTGGATTTTGCATTTCATTCATATTTCCTATCACCTAATTCTGCATTAGTTCGTTCATTCTTTTACTCTAAGATTCTATATTTCTTTGATCCTTCTTTGTCTATGAATTGTACATTTCTTTTATCATGCCTTTACTACCAGATTGTCAATTATTTTCATTATTATTTAACTTAGTCTATCATATTTATCATTTTAGCCATTATAGACTATAAAACTGTTCTTTCTTAAAGCATATAGGAATGCTTCTTTATGCCTAAAATGTAGCTATCTTATTTCTTTGATTTTGCTAAACGCAAATGTATAAAAACACTTGAGCCGCTTTATTAATTCCAATAAAATCATCGCATAAAGCATTCTAGAGTGATACAATCTAGTTTTTTTTTATTGCATATGTCACTTTTAACATTACAATAAATGTATTACAATTTTTATAATTCATAAATATTATAATCGTATTGCTATAAAAAACCCGATGTAACTTATACGACAAAAAAACCCGATGTAACATATACGACAAAAAACCCGATGTAACTTATACGACAATAATAGTCCTCTTACTCTGACAATCAATCCTTCTATGTCTTCATCGTACTTGAGGGTGAAGTGGATTTTACCGCAAGGTGTTCCAAGGTCTAAGTTGTCATCCGATGTACTTCTACTTTCCACGGAAGCTTCCCTCAACAGCTCATCCTTGTAGAGCTCTGGCTTAATTTCACCTACAGATGACGCTTCACGTGGTGGTTTGTTACAGACTAAAATAATAATAACTTTTTACGTTGTTCTCTGAAAAGACGGACAAACATGTTGTGCTCTTATACAACTATTTGTTTGCATGTTGTGCTCCAATACAACTATTTGTTTGCATGTTGTGCTCCTATACAACTATTTGTTTGTATGTTGTGCTCCTATACAACTATTTGTTTGCATGTTGTGCTCCTATACAACTATTGGTTTGCATGTTGTGCTCCTATACAACTATTTGTTTGCATGTTGTGCTCCTATACAACTATTTGTTTGCATGTTGTGTTCCTATACAACTATTTGTTTGCATGTTGTGTTCCTATACAACTATTGGTTTGCATGTTGTGCTCCTATACAACTATTTGTTTGCATGTGAATTATTTTAACAATTATTTGTTTATTTTCGTGTTTTAAATATGTAAATTTCCTTATTTCGTGTGGAATCATTTTTATATTTAACCATTGTATTCGTTACTTCGTATTTAAAAAAAAGATAAACGAGCATATTTCATTTGTCATTCAAGTATTCGAAAACTTTAATAGTTTGTTGTAGTTTAGAGATAATGTCATAAACAAGCTTTTTACTTGTTATGGTGAAAATATTATAACGATCTTTTAATTTGAAGAATATTCCCTTGATTGTTAAAATTGTCTGAAGACTAAATCAGTAATGAAAGGATACATATCTTTTCACAAAATTAATTTACGTGACATTTTTAGCAGCAAATATAACATTAAATAAGTTCAAAATCAAAACCATTGTCCGTATTTAATTTTAAGGGATATCTTTATAGAGTATGAAATACGTAAATAATTTATACGGTAGAATGGTTAAGCTACGATAACATTCTAAATGTATTTTAACCATTAAGTTCAACTATATTTATTTTCACTGTGTATTTAGAAAAATTTCATAGCATCGTTTCTTCTGCCAAGAATTTGTTAAATGTAAAAAAATTACATTAATAATTTCACCAATAAAGGACATTACTTAAGTCGCTCGCACTTTGATTTATAGTTAATACGAAAATAACTATTTTATAACATATATCGACAAGAAAAAGTATATCTCAGGATTACCAGATCTTACATAAACAAATACATAGATCAAGAGTATTCAAATAAAAGGACAAAACAGCAAGAAACGACCTGAGATTATGATGACGATATCATGCCTGCCCCTCATATCAGTTAGGGTACTGAGAAATGGACTTTAACACAACTGACTGGCGATATCTACAAACGTCCCAACCTATTTGTATTTGTATCATGTTACCTTTCTAAGAAGGATGAAAGACTGTTGGACAACCTAATCCCCCTGTTTGAAATAAACCATTCGACCTTGACGCGTGACTCGTGAAACGTTAGGCAGTGGTTTTTTTGTCCAGACTGCAGAAGTATAAAAAAATCTTAGTTTTTAGATGGAAACATTAGACACAAGAAAAAAAAAAGAATCACAAAGATTATCTTATTAACAGTAAAATATAGAAACATTACATCGAAAGTAACCAGTATCTTGAAAAAGAAACACCCATTTGTTTGATTCGGAAATAACGTAAAAGCTCCTGGCATTTTATTTCTACAGGTTTTTTATAATAAAAACATGTTGAAATTCTCTTTATTGAACGTTATTTTTGTTTCATGCCGTATTGGAAGAACTTCTTAAAACATAAAATAGACTTCTGTTATGCACTTACCAATATCCCAGGGTGCTGAAGATTAATCGAATCATTCTGACCTAGAAAAGTTTCGGGATTGGGATAGTTTTTCACATAATTACTTGCACATTCTATTCACCCAGTAATTATAATTATTCATTTTAATACGGTGGAAGTATGACATATCGTTTTTGGTTAGTCTCTAAAAAATAGCTCATTGTTTTGTTTTATTTCAGTATTTTCAATGGTTGACAATGAAAAAGTTTGATACTTTAAGGATCTTTAAAATCCAATGATTTAAACCTTATATTTGTTTTGACAAGTTTACGAGATTATGATTTATTTATTTGCAAAACAAAACAAAAACACCATTACAAACACTTCGACTATGTGATTCACGTTTAAAACTCTCCTTACAATACAATTGAAGTCTGAAAAAATAATAATTGTTAATGGATGTGTTATGATCAATTCTTAATTCTTTAAATACGCCATCACTTAATTCTATAGCTTTTTTGCTTATTATATGATTCCAACTCCAATTGTGTATGAATTCAAAATGCGTTAGATAAAACAGTCTAGCTTTTTGATTAGTTAGAGCACGTATTTGTTTGATTTTTTTTATAAAAGAATAGAAATTAAAACTTAGTACAAAGAGAAAAAAAGTAGAAAAATTAATGAAACCTTACTTTCAAATGGAACATCATAAATATCCAGACGGTGAGAGAGTTGTCTTTGGAAGGTCTGATGACGAGTTGGTACGATCGGCAAGGTGGTTTGACGAGGAGGAAGAACGATTTTCTTACACTGAACTTCTTTCTTCATTTCTTCTTTGATATCAGGTAAACTGTAACTTATTTTCGGTGAATGACCATTTTTGGACTCTTGTGACTGTACTGAATTTGACACTAGGGTGGCGCTACCATCGCCGACGGAATGGTTTGGCTGAAAGATTGATATCAACCAACGATAGCCGAAATAGGTCATTACGCCCACTACAGCTACAGCCAAGATCACAACAGCAGCAATAAACTCGGGCACAACAATGTATCCGGCATCTGTCAAAAGAAGAAGAGAAAACACTGGGTTTTTGAAACTTGTTACCGAGCGATATCATTAAAAATAACAATAACAAACAAAACAAACGAAGATATATATATGAAGAACTTAATAGTTTAGATTGTTATTAAACATTTAAATCAACGGATATTAAAGATTAGAAACCATGCAAAGTTTGTGATTATTTTAGCGCAAAGCAGCATAATAGGCTAAATGCGCTCTGTTCACTACGGGAGGATGGGACCCTGTATTTTAGCGTTGTAAGTATGTAAACTTACCACTGAGTCACTGGGGAACGCTAGGAAATTTGTTTTCTATACATAAAAAAAACAGTGGTACAGCGGTATGTCTGCGGACTTAAAACGCTAGAATCCGGGTTTCGATACTCGTGGTGGGCAGAGTACAGATAGCTCATTGTGTAGCTTTGTGCTTAATTACAAACAAACAAACATAAAAAAGTATCTGAAGATTTCAAAAGAAGTAAAAAAAATCCAATTTAATTGCAAAAACGAGGGGCAGTGAAAATTATCTGTTTTAGAAAAGGCCGTAAAGACTGAGGAACGTTTCAAAGTATTTGTTACACTCAGAAAATTTAAAGGCGGACTTAAACGTGTAGAAAAAAAAATAAGATGTGACAAATCAAAGATTTATTGACGTCTTAGGGTTGTTCTTGGATCGATTGAAACACAGCCACCGAGACGCGCCGAGATGATAATATTGATACAGAGAATGAAACATGTAGTTCACATGTTTCTGGTTATTTTTGCAAGTCTTGCCTTTAGTTACATAGTTTAATTTATATCTAAAAAGTTGCTGTTCTCTTAAGGTTAAAGGAAAGATAGAAATTACAGAGGGTTAATCCTACTTTAGAGGGGGAATTGGCTAATTATAAGGACAATAAAAGTAACTGTAGCGCTGTGTCGCCGAAAGTGGGAGCGGTGCTGCCATAGACAAAATGTTTAGTTTAGGTGGATTTTAGGCCATTCAACAGAGCTCTAGGCCAGTTAACAGAGCAATGCCACCTCTTCCGAGAAAGGGTTATGTAACAACCTCTTAGATGAAAATACATTTGTAAAATAATATTGTTAAACAATGTATAGTTAAACGACATGAAATTTCAAAATAGGAACAATACTCTCATGATCTATAAAGTGAAAACTAGTGAAAATAACCTTCTGACCTAAAGAACTAGTGTGGAAAAGCTGGGCATATCTCCTGGTACCGTAAAGAATATATTAAGCAAGGATTTGAAGTTGATAAAAGCTCACAAGATAAAAACTCACAACAGAAATCCCATTCGACCTGTCAAGTCCTATGCAACTACAATGTACTTTCGTGTTTAGTTTGATTTAGCATTACATCTGGAGCCGACATTCACGAACAATGGTGAATTTGTAGAAAATTTGTCAAGATGTGTGGTCTAAAATTGACCTCGTTGACTTTCAGCGTAGAAATTGTGGTATTGGGCAATAGCACATGATCATGACTATCAGACTGATCATGATCGATGAGAGACAAAATGATCCCAAGGGAAGAGCAGGACCTGGAATATCATTCTTATAAAGTGAAGTTAGTCCTCAATATAGCTTTAAAAAGGTTAAGACTAAAGCCTAGCATGTAAGAAAACGAAAATGTGAATTACTAAAACAATACTGCAAATATTTGTCAACAATATACAGAAAAGTCAATTTTTTGACTGTAAAAGAAAAAACTGTGTTGCTATTATCATTTTATTTTGACTATAATCATAGTTAATAAGTCGATTTTTGGGCTGTCTAATTAAATCATCAGTAATGGCAAATTATGAAGCACTTTATTTTAGAAAGGATTGAGCACATTGTATTAAAACAGTTTGGAATATGCAAATCAGCATATCACGTGACAGCCAGAGTTCGATATTAAGTCGCGGTTGAACGACATGAACTAGATTTGATATTGTTTGGCTTTTCGTAGGTTGTATGCATGATGCTATCAAAAATTTATCGCTTTTGGGTAGTGTAATTAGCAATCCTTTCTGACGCATATTATTCATACACTCAGGTCATAAAGACGTGTTCAGATCTGGGATTTATGATTTACAAGACAGAAATATCCCTTGTACTTATTTCATTCGTAAACAATTGAATAAGAATCAACTTGTGTCACCAGGACCGTCCAGTAAGGGACCTTCAACAAGTCGTACCACAACCCTAGTAAGCAAAGTGTGAGGTCTTGTAGAAGGTGAGAACCCACGATTACAAAGGTCAGTGACAAAAGCCATCCATGTGTTTTAGGCAACATTACGCAACATAACCAAGGAGGATCTCCTCTGAAAAAATTACACAGGTCACGTAACACAAGCTACTTCCACGAAAACCCTTTTCAGACTGTTGAAAAGAGCGCTGTTAAATCGTCGTCCCCTACATATACTAGATGGTGAATGGGAAAGCCTGCAGGGTGGAGTGATGTACTTTGAATACGACAGTCTTATAAGGGATCATTCAGTAATGAAAACTATGCCATAGGACTATTGTTAAGGTGCATGGACACGACAACTTAGACTGGAACGTCGAAAAGCGTTTTAATATAATGTACTCAACCTCTGTATAATGCAGTTACACGGCTACTTTAAAAATTAAAAAAAATAAAGTTTCAAGAATGGCATCCTATCATGTTTAAATGAAAATAATTCAGAGGAAAACAACCATTTCAAAGAATCTTTTCTGAAAACAGAGACAGGTCATTCTAAAGAAGAATGGCGGAAAATGACGCAAAACATCAAGCTAATTAAATATATATATATTGTAACAAAATAAATTCGGAACCTTTTGTAACGTATTTTCTGTTTGATATCCATTAAAATGTGCTCTACGTTGCACCTCTACTTACATTAGAGTCTTTGAAATTTATGTTTGCATTTACATTACTGATATTCGTGTTTCAGTTAATGGTATAAGCAATTTAATTTGTAATATCAAATAAAAATTGCTAGATGCAATATTTTTACATCACCTTTTATATTCAGTTTTCCTGCCTCGAATGCATAATAAGTCATATTAATGTAATATAATATTTTTACGAATTATTAGCTATCATCATTTAGCTTTCTCTTAGGTTTAAGAGCATACAGTTATAAGATGACTGAGTTTTATATTACACAATGAATATATTGTTATGGAGCAATTATTAGACTCGTGCTCTTCACTGTTAAAACACCAGCTGGCGAGTTGTTTTACAAGATTTAAATGGTAAAATGAAAATAATATTTCAGAAAATTACAACAATATTTCTGCGTAGGTAAGTTGCTATTTAAATGAAAAAATATGTAACAGTTGACTTTTATTCTAACAAAAACAAGAACAAAATGTTTTCTTTGGTTCTGTCTAAAGAATATAGCATGTATTGTTTAGAGATCTTACTGTGTGGGTGGGTTACTTGTGTCTCTATACCTTGCAGATGGATTTAATAACGAAAAATCCACACTTTTGGGCTAGGAAGGCAGCCAGAATGAAAGCACATGTTCCTTTGTAAACTGGTGAATTAGACTGAGACATAAAAATAGTATTTTTTCCCCATGTAAAGTTTTGGAAAGAGACGTCAGCAATGAAAAACAATAAGTTTTTCAATGATATTCCTGGTAACAAAACAATAAAGCCAAACCTTCTGAGGTATATGTTTCCAACCGTGTTCACGTGACGTTTGTAAACACGTGCTTTGTGCTTGAACCAGAGACAAGTGAAAATGACAAGTTAAAGTATTAACAATAACGTAAACAACAGGATTTGGATATCCTGGGGAGGCTTTATCTTAACTACCAAATAGTTACACGAATTCTCAATAGGAACACGTGGGAAGTAAACCTTGTTGTAGGTTAATCTTAGATAGCTCTGTATATCATTTCTTCCTCTTCCTGAGCTTAATCTTTGCCTGGCATTAATAAAAGAAAGATTTTAGCACTCACGTAGAAAAAAAGTATAATATTCATTAATTTTAAGTGCATATTACAGTTGGCAAATGCTTCTATCTACAGAGACTGAGGCAACAATCTCAGATATGAATTATCTAGGTAAATGCTACTGCTCTCATATTTATCAACATAATAATCACCGTTAGAACCCAGAATTGTAACGTATTGAAGAAACTAGCTTATCTAGTTGTTTAACTTGTAGAATATGTTTATAGATGGTATGAACACGAAAAGACAACTTAATATACTCACTGGACACGTCTATTCTTAATTCTTAAGATTCCCTACTAATTTTGAAATGTTCTGGAGTAATATGTAAATAACTCATCAACTATTGTTGTCACTATTTGAAGCACGAGGAAATAACATTCTAGAAGCGTACCGAGTGTTGCTAAGCTTGAATGAAATAGTTGTGACCAATTTCTGTGAATCAGTGAGTTCAAAGCCACATGACTATCCGAGGAGGTAATATAATCAAAAAGTATTCTTTAATATGGAGACACTGACCATTCATTTCTTCTCCTATAATATATGC